TGGGCGGACACATCCATCCAAAGTACCATCGGAATAGGAAATTGTTACCGAATGGAATGAAATCCTGGAAGATTTAGGCTGTCAACTAAACAGAATAGATGATAATATGAGTACAAGTAAGGAAAATATGGAAAACTGCCTATGTGAGTAGAATATAGTAGAGAGATATATAGTATGTAGTAATTCACAATAATATGATTTGATTTGCATTAATATAAGACAAGTAAGAACTCAAAATAAAGTTATGTAAAGCGGAGGTAAATACTAAATAGTAAAATACGATTATAGAATATAGACTAGGGTAACCCAGCGGCACTTACCTTGAGCTCCCAATAAAGACTCCTCGAATGGCGATGATAGAAATCTCGCAGAGGGACGAACTCTGTGTATTCCTGCTGTAAATGTTGATTGAAGTTATAGCATTTCTATTTAAAAATCTAAAAAATAGATAGATCAAATAGAAAGGAGGATGTCTGACCCGTTTTCCGGCCTAACAACACCCATGTAGAACATTGGGGGACACAGATTCATACGAGTGGGGAATCTTGAAAACGATTCTTATCATGAAGCTGTCCCTCTAACATCAGTATCATTTTTGAAAAATGAGGAATGGGAGAAGTTAAACGGCCATACGGAAAGAATGGATGAGCAGAAAAGCGTTCTATCCACCGTTTAGTCCTGTAATCACTAGAGGACTCCATAGGTCGCCACGATGTGTCAACGAAGTAAAACTGCGTTCAAGGATCAGAGTCGGAAGCATGGCGCGAACCAAGGCAGTTAGTTATGTACATCCGGCGTACTTCTCTTTTGTGCATAAAATTAGAATTTTCCACCAAGACCAACCTTAGTCGAAGTGATTACTTTTTGTACATGAGTATAGAACCATGGTTTGTACCATCTGCCTAGTTGATTAGCGGCTCCCCAATTCTTGGGTGGTCCTTCGGAAAATCTGAACAACGATACGAAGTCTGCATGGCAACTTTACGTGATAGACGCCAACCTCCCACGTAGAACTACTCCAGTGGTAGGTGTGAACTGCAGTCCTTCGACGAATTCGTTCTCTCGGCATTGTGCCTCTTCGGTGAGCTTGGACTGCATCTCCTAAACAGCACATCGTTACTAATAGGTCTTATCTCATGAGAATAAACGAAAACCTATTGAAAGTGTGGTTTTCAATTTCTAATTCAGAGTTTTAAAAAAACTGAACCCTGACCTCACAATTGCGACGTAACCGGGGAGTGATAGTGGCCTATTCTTCTACTGAACACATGCACAATACTGTCGAGCCCCATTCAGAATTGAAATTAACAATTGCCGTGAAGTACGCACGTCCTCTCATCTTCGCCGGTGGTAACCACACACGGTACATAGCATCTGACGCGCACTCTCTTTACCATTTAAAGGTTTGTGCCCTCCCCCTATTCTACGCCACCCTGACAGCAGTTATTTACCCTTGGGTCTAGACAGATTGAGGGAGGGTTACTGTATTACACGTTCACGGGACTTTAAAATCTGACTTGCCTCACTTTAGTCGTCAATTGTCAATTCCTCTCATGCCAATCAGAATGAAATTTTGAATCTAATCGTAATCTTGGATTACCAGTCTTACCTCAGTTGAGCGAACCGGTATGTAGGTGATTTTGACATATGGTTTTATCGGAATCATTCGTAGAGTAGCAGCTACCATGATTCCTAATGTTCCTTCGCTCCATGGTACACCGTAGAAAAGCGCCTGAGTCTCAGCGCCTCCATCTCTGTCCTGAAAATACAGATGAGAAAGTAGCAGTACGGTTGGGAGCGTATGCATCGTCAAAGGAGATTCAGGGAATCTCGAAATGATCGAAGTTTTTTGGAGATAACTTATAAGCAATGATTAAGGGCTCATAGTGAAAGTGTTTGTTTACAGAAGTTTACTCCTGTAATGATGTTGCTGTGGTAGTCAAGACAATTCATAAACAGATCAAGTGGCTACGCCTTCATCAAATCCTTCATCAAGTGACTATGTTAGGTAGAAGCTGAAACCCACGAATGCAGCTGGTAGGTCTGCCTACAAAGCTGGTCGGGCTTGTTGCTGGGAGTTGTTCATCCAGAACATGAGCTGAAGGGCTTCCCAAAGAGCTTAACAGCTTTGAAGTCATCAGATAAATACCCTCGCAATTCGCGCATTTACTAGTGTGCATATTGATATTATTGTTTATCGAATCACCTTGACCAATATTTATTGTTATTTTTGATACAAAAATCTTTTTAAGCCTATTAAAACTGACCTTAGAGGCGGTTACGAGACTTCCGTCGGGCATTATAAGTTCGTAGGATAAGCAGATATGTTGGAATAAGCCGTATTTTCGACCAGACACATCTGATCCACGGCCATTTATAGCATCTAAAAAAGATATTTTACTCAAAAGTATGTACCTGAACTTCCCTCAAAAATAAAAGAATTGAACGAAAAAGAATTCTCGAAAGTGCAAGTATTTCGAGTACCTTCGACAGTGAGATGCTTGGTGCCTGGAAGTATCGGCAGACAGAACCCGAGTGGGATAAGCACCCGAGACAGTTCACCCATTGTGATCATTGGTTCCACACGAACAGTTAAAGCATCACGGTTTATCTGTAAAATCTCAGTTGACCTTATATTAATGAACATAAAAAAAGGTCTACTTCAAGGATATCCATAAGGGTGCCCGTATAGATTGGGGTCGTTTCTTTGTTAGGTAGTCGAGTTAAGGAATCCCACACACCGTCGTGTATCGGAAGCATTTTCTTTTTCCGATCACCTTTTGTCCATTCGTGGACCTGAAAATTGGAAATGAAAAAAAANAAAAAAAACTTCCGAAAAACTAGTAAATAAAAAATAAAAAGTCAGTTCCATAAAAAATGGAAAATAAATGGGATCATATCTGAAATTCTGCAAATCCAGCTGTTCCGAGTCAACGTACCTGCCTCTGAATAGCCATCACCTTACGTGAATGAGCTCGTGGAGCAGTGCCGACAGTGTAAACGAATTTATTTCTCAATGTTAATAAAAAGTTATAGAAGAAGCTCAATGGAAGTATAAAGAAGACAATCGTATAGCATCGAATAAATGTTAGTAGCCATGTAAAAAGCCGTTCGCTGAGGGATTGATACGCCGTCATCCCCATCTGAAATGACACAGCATCATCTGAAGGTCTTAAGGCCAGGCGAACGAGAATTCGAAAGTCAGTATAAAATTCTTCTTTATCAAGTGATGGTAGTTTCGGAGATTTCAAAATACTCAAAGAGTAGAGGCTCTATAATCCACGTTTCAATCGAGAATATGCTAAAATCGTACTGAATGATAACCTAGCCCTTGGTGTATCTCAATGAGCACTCACCTAGATTGATCGACATCAAGAGATTCCTCCAAGTATGTAACAAGCACGTAAGCGAACAGGTAAATAGAATGAGTACAAAAAAAGTGGAACGTTTGTGTGGAAGCAAGAAATTTAGATGTAAAAAGTGAAAGAAACATAAAGTATGGCACTTCATAAGCGAAATGTACTCTAAAAATAAGAAAATTCGATTAAAAACCAGGGCATCTTCAAAATTTATCGACCCTTATCTCTCCAGGAAGCTAGAAACGTGAGAAACTAAGCTAAAAATAAGTCAGATTGACCGATCCAATATGTTAAGCACTTTTTCTTCTGATACGTCTCTGTTGTTAGCTTAATAGGGGTCCATTCTAATTCAATCTTCTCGACAAATATTTTGAAAGTTATCGAGCTCAAGAAAACACAGTTCAGCTCTAATTTCGAGGTACCGTTTGAATTTTTGTATAGTCAATCTCATTATCAATATATCATAAGCTTGTATTTTAACACTGCAAGAATTGAGGGTTTCTGTCAAATTTTCGAATGCATTACAAATGTTCTTTTTACTGGGTTAGATAATACTTTTTCTTTTTTTTTGAGTTGTAAAATTTGCCGGTTAAACACGTGCATTTTACTTGGTTTCGAAAACTAATTGAAGTTTCCCTATAAAATGCGTAACACGCTCAAAGATTTCATCATATGGGTGGGTAAGTTAACGGAAAATTTAATACAACAAAACTCACAAAATTAACCCAAAATCAGAAATAAGAATCATGACCAATTCAGTGTGTCATAACTGGTTCGTTACTATTGAGAGATAGAAAAACAATATCACTACTTAAGCAGTTCGTTATCAAAATGCGAAACTGAAGCCATGACAAGAATGACAACAATGGAATGGTTACCATGTTTGTTTAACAAGTAGTCAACAATTACAATAGCGGGTGGAAGGATTTGAACAAAAAAATAAGTTTAAAAGGGTAAGAAGATGAACTTTTTGGGTGTCGAACAATCCCGCCTGATCAAAGTGGATTATTTAAAAAAAAACTAAATGATTTTGTCACGAAATAGATAAAAAAAATAAATAAGGTATTATAAAATAGATAAAATTTAAGTAAGTAGATAATGTTTGAAATAAAACTATCTATTGATATCAGAATCAGGGCACCACAAAATGAATCTATCAAAATGTAGCGCGACAAAAAGAAAATTAGAAAGATAGGAACAAAAGTAGTAAAGGCTATTAATTGCGCTTTGTTATGCTCGTTGCTGATGTCGGGGCTTGATTTCAGTGTTTACCTGCTAATGTTTACCTGTTAGGCAAACACGTACCGTACTCTGTACAAAAAATTATGAGCATAGCATGAAATGAGTCTAATCTACATCACTGTGATTGATGGGCAGAATATGCAAAACATCAGCAAGAACTAATTCCCAAAAATTTGTAAACTTCTAAGAAATCCTAAAAAAGAAATCGAAAAAAAGGTGAATCGAGAGGAAAAGGAATAAAGGGAAAAGAGAAAGTCCCAAAAAAAAAAAGAGCAAATCTCATCGGAAAGCAACAAAATCAATGATTTCTATGAGAGAGAAAGAAAGAATGGCGCAAGTATCGATGGTAAACATTACTAAGGAATGACTGATTGCAGTAAACAACTGTTATTTTGATGACTTTTGTGATCGGAACTGACCGCTAGGAACAATGGCCATGAAGGACGGCAGTGTGGGACAGAAATTTAGTCAAGGCAAGTGGCTGACAGAAAACTGCCAATGTCCTTTAGTTTTCACTAATCAATATGAGTTTATCAGTTATAGGTTGAATCGGGTACAGGTCCACTTCATTCTACTTCTTACAACCTTCACCCAGGCTATGGCTCAATACAAATTTATGTGATTAAATCTAAATTTGCTCAAAAATAAATTCAGATATTCAAATAAATTGAAAAATATGTGAAACTCCACCTCAAATTAAACTGAAGCACAAAAAATGGAAGACTGATCGAAGGGAAGTCGAATTGTTTCAAGGAAATTTTATGGATCACACCAAACTGGTTCTGAATGTAAGACGATGTTCAAGCGACTATTCCAGTGGGATTCTTGAGTTAGCACTTCTTCCAAAAATGTGCGAACCCATTCCCGACAGTTTGGCTCGGCATCGATAATTCTCTAACCCTTCGAACCCGGGAATATAGATACCTTTAAAGAAGTCAATATAAGAGAAAACTTTCAAAACTTTTATAATAGAATGCTGCAGCCCCTTTCAATGAAATGAAGGACAGCCTAATAGATCAGAATAGGTAGTCTCTAGAAAAGTAATGCTCTTTTTTGGAATTTTTATAAATCGTTTGGGTCATCTCGAGTGCGGTCGTAAATATTTAAATAAATATAACTTGGTAACCGCATAGTTATTTGAACTAGTCTTGGTGAGAAAAAGTAAGGGTTGATGAAGTATTTAGAGATTTGAAGAATTTTATGGTCCGGAGGCTACCTTTAACAGGACCCGAAAGAAGGAGGATTGGTTTTCCCACTGCTTTTTCAATGAAGCTATCTGCAAATTTCATATAAACCTCAGAAAGCAACTAGGAGCTCGTCGTTCTTGTTGTTTTCCAGGTAATTAGTAAATATTTACGACTTGGTAAACATATTGTGTAAATATCATCGATGAAACAGTGACATCAGAGAGATCAGTCCATACGAAGCAGTTGCTGATACTTCTGAGAGGTCAGAAATCTTGCAAAGAGGAGAGAATGGGATTAGGTCCGGGTAAAAGTAAGTGGGCCATTCGCACCGTGGCGGTCAAGGGTCATTGAGAGGCCTGGGATACCAACTTCAAAGGAAAGTGAATACTTGAAAAAAAAATAATAAAACTGTGACGAGGGGGTTAACGTAGTCTTCCCGAATTAAAGATAATTCAAAAAAAGGGAACACGCCTGATCGAATGTTTGACGTGAGCTGTTCGGAACAATCCAGCGTACGTTGGCAATAGCGATAACCCACAAGATTGATTGATGTTTGACGAAAGAACATAGTTCGCTCGGAACGAATGGGTGAACCCATGGGTAACAGGTGAAACGGACTCCCACGTGGACATTGACCCTTGCACAACAAAGAACATCAGTGTTCGATAAGAGTGGGAAGAACATGAAGCTTCTATCTGGGAAGGAAGTAAATACAGCCGGAACATGACAAGACAGGAAGGGTTTATCAGAACGGCAATCAAGCGATCGTTGTCTTCATTGAGGGGGGCATCGATTGTGACGCCAGGCGACAACAAAATGGCTGTTCGTAGATCATGCCACCTCTCGTGCCGTCATCAAAAAAGGGGGTTCTGTATACTTTTATTGCCATTTGAGTGATGAGCGCCTATACTGGCTAAGATAAACAAACAAACTGAGTCACAACAATCAATAGCTGATCAGTAATCGAAAACTTGTAGGGAAGAAGCTGAAAGTGTGAAAGAAAAGCTGCTACCAAACGTCATGGTGGGACATATGTACCGCTGAAATATTAACATATTTCTTTGTATTTGAATAGAGAAATAAGCTCTGGTAGCTCAGGAATGAGGTGGAGCAGCACCAAGTGGAGCCCAATCACACCACATGGTCTGGAGATTGAATCCTGGATCCACATCCGCTCCGCCTAGGCCAACGAAACCCTTTATCCCGTCGTAGTCGGGTAGTTGGTACCAGACTCGTCTGGGAAGGTAAAAGCACTGGCTTGTACGTCGGCTGGCCACATTGAGTCCCCGAACAACTGAATTACGCATTCATAGAACATTATGGTTTTGAACAGAGGTCGAGTGCAGGGCGCGTCCAAAACCAGATTTTTCAAAGTCAAAAAATCTTACCTTCAAACTCATCAGCGCCTGTGCTAGTCTGCTTACTGTAGCTAAGCGATCGAACTCACAATTTCTTTCTTTTCAAAGGGGAGGGACCACATACCATCTGCTTACAGTCTCTCGCGGATTCAAGCTATTTTCCGATCCGCAGCCATGTAGCTGTAGCTTTAC